AGATATACTGTAATGTTATGCCATTAGAAAGATTTATTCCAGAGACATAGAGAATTCATTGTTTAAAATCATAAATTTATTTTTATCAATTAATTTAACTAAAAGAGAGATTATATGAGTTTCCGAATATAGATAATGAACATTACCTGAGCAATCTTTATTATTTATTATGAATTAATCTTATCAAACTGTTATACATTCACACAAGAATTTTGCAAGGATTGAAGAATATGATATATTAATATTACAAAAGAATTTCTTATCTTTAATTATATTGTTACGCTCGTGCCGGATTGGCTTGAGCAAGTTCATTCGCGTGTAACAATATTATTATTATGAAATATCTTTTAATAATCTAGCATTTAATATGGGCGAGGTGGACCGCCACGCATCAAACCTGGAGGGGGACCTCTCATGCCAGGTGGTCCCATGGGTGGACCACCACGTCCTATAGGTGGCATTCCGGGTGGCATACCTGTAAAATCGCAAAAAATATATACATACACACATACATATTCCATAATAATTGTACTTAATAAATTAAAAAAAATCATAAAATTTTCTTTTAAATATATTATAAAATATTTGTTAATAAGTATCGAATAAAAAAATAAAAATATGCTAAATATTATCATGTATGCTAAATATTAAAATATGAATTTAGCAAAAGAAGAAACAATTGCTCATATGCTTATTCGTAGATTATAAAAAAAAATAAAGAGAAAAGAAAAATAATGATATCTCAAGAATCGTGGAGTTTTTTAAGAGTAAACAAATCTTACCCATCATTCCAGCTGGTGGTCCCATCATGCCTGGTGGTGGTCCACCGACTGGCATACGTGGTGGCCCACCAGGATGTATTTGAGGTGGTGCCGAGACCTGACCTCTACTGCCAGGTGTCATGATTTGTTGGGATGGACCTCCGACACCCCTGACTGGTCCCTGAAGTCCTGCTGGTACACCTGCAACGTTCGCGGGCATACCTCTGCCAGTAGCACGAGCCATACCTGGTCCTGGTGCAGCTCCTGGGATCGGTACTCTAGGCAATCCTTCCTCGGGAGGCGGTGGACCTTCTACTGTCAAAGAAACAATATTCTCGCCACGTAGAAGTACAAAACCCAGCACACGTTTTTCTTCTCTCTCCGGTTGCTTCGTATTTTTCGGCTTGATCTTACGAAACTCCTCACAATCGCCAAGAATCAAATTCATATGTTTATCAAAAGCCTTGAACGTGCCTATAAATGTTCTAGAATCTTGTAAGATGATCCTAACTCTATAGTTAATATGCTGTAGCATCTTATTATTCTTGCCAATCGTCTGAAAAATAATTTGTTATTTAAAAAATATGTATATCTTTATATTAACAATCTTATATTTATTTAAAAATAAATTATTTAGATACAATTTATTCAGTATGCTTATATGCGTGTTCATAGACATATTTATATTATTTAGATATCAAGTTGAACGAATACTGATAAAATAATATTATTAACAATAAAACATGTTTTATGCTAAAAACTCTGTATTTTAAAAAAGTCCCAGAATTTTGCTCCATTAATGTGTACTCAACTTTGTCGGAATAAATAGATGTTATTATCTTTAAAAGACCTGTCGTATATATACTTTTTAAATATATATTGTTTATTCATTATCTTCGTTTTTTTAATATAAAGTTTTTTTAATATATCTTAATTTTATTTATTATAAAAACTTTGCTTGGAAAATTAATCCAACATTTGATTTGGTTAGAATTGCGAGTTTAAGCCTCAAACGCAAAATAATTCAAAAGGATCACAAGTCGAGAAAAATTTTAAAGATTATTACGTTAATAAAGAATTAATGATTATTATTGTTGCTTACCATCTTGGCTGATTGTTTTCAACGTAGAGCACAAAAATTAGTTGTGAAAAATCCGCACGGAACTTTTACCGCATAACCTCTCCTGATATGAAGAAAGTAAACCGCCAAACACGGCACTGTATCCAATTGTACTTTAAAGTGCATCCATAGTGTAAATATATAATGAGTGTTTTCCATTTGATGACACAAATCAAAATTGGCAGGGGGCCACAAAAATGGAGGGTCTCTACAGCTTGATTTTTTTTTATTCATTTAAATTTTTTTTATAACTTTAAATTTAAATATATTTGCTTACAATTAGAAGAATTCCAATTTTATTCAAATTGCAAATTGATGAAGTAATTTAGTAACGCATTGATTGATTCGCCATATTTTAGGAAACTCGTCCTACATTTTAATACCTATATTTGTGTTATTTTTAAATTTCTAATATAATTAAAATTAAATATTTTAAAAGTATTAACAAATATAAATTTCTTACATTACATTTTAAATCGTGAAAGCTCTGCTTCTTTACACATAACGCAGAGTTCTTATTGAATATCGCTCGATATAAAGCAGAGTTCTTATTGGATGTCGCTCATCGCTGATCTCTCTTTATACCCAATACAATAAGCTGATATTCATAGGCTGTGATCAAAGTCTCGCTACAAATGCTTTGAAGGGTTTGATGGACCAATTACCAGATGTACAAGTATGAAATGACGATTTGAGAAACAGATGGCGCACCAATGCAGTGTGAAGTACAAAGATTTAACATTATACACCATTTTATTGTACCATCAACAAGTATCAAACGCGCAAAGTGATTTGATTGAAAAGTGTTTGCATAATATTGTGTTGCTGTGTTTAATATGACGAAATTTGTACCAAATAAGGAGCATTCGCGGACAGCATTAATTTTTTGTTTTCATTTGAAGGAAACTGCTGCGGAATCATACCGATTACTTGGAGAAGCTTATGGTGAACATGCTCCATCGCAAAAAACATGTGAACGATGGTTTCAGCGTTTCAAAATTGGAGATTTCGATGTTGCAGACAAGGAACACGGAAAACCGCCCAAAAAGTACGAAGACGTGGAATTGCAAGCATTGCTGGATGAAGATGATTCACAAACACAAAAACAACTCGCAGAGCAATTGAGCGTTAGTCAACAAGCTGTTTCCAATCGCCTACGAGAGATGGGAAAGATTCAGAAAGTCGGCAGATGGGTGCCACATGAATTGAACGAGAGACAGATGGAGAGGCGCAAAAACACATGTGAAATTTTGCTCGAACGATACAGAAGAAAGTCATTCTTGCATCGTATCGTTACTGGGAATGAAAAGTGGATTTTTTTTGAGAATCCCAAGCGTAAAAAATCATGGGACCCAGGCACACCATCCACATCGACTGCAAGACCGAATCGCTTTGGCAGGAAGACGATGCTCTGTATTTGGTGGGACCAGAAGGGTGTGGTCTATTATGAGCTATTGAAGCCTGACGAAACGGTTAATACCAAACGTTATCAACAACAATTGATCGATTTGAACCGTTCGCTGCTTAAAAAACGACCAGAATACCAAAAGAGGCAACACAAGATCATTTTTCTCCATGACAATACTCCATCACATACGGCAAAATCAGTTCGGGACACATTGGAAGCACTCAGCTGGGAAGTTCTACCCCATGCGGCTTACTCACCAGACTTGGCTCCTTCCGATTACCACTTGTTTGCATCGATGAGTCATGCACTTGCTGAGCAGCGCTTTGGTTCGTACGAAGATGTGAAAAAATGGCTCGATGAATGGTTCGCGGCAAAAGGGGAAGATTTTTACTGGCGTGGTATCCACAAATTGCCCGAAAGATGGGAAAAATGTGTAACTAACAATGGAGCATACTTTGAATAAATCTCTTTTTATTATTCTTCCGAATTTAACGTGTTTTTTTTGGGGGAAAAAAAATCGTCATTTCATATTTGTACACCTGGTAGAAGAAAGAATTTTACAAACTGACCAATTAAAAAACGCTTCAAAGCGTTTGCAACATCGCGTTGACTATACCCATAGTTGGTTTTTATTTTAAGACCATCTTAAGTATTGTCTTAAGATGTTAAGACGGTTTTCTAATCGGTTTAATGACATCTTAAGATTGTACTTAAAACTATCTTAAATATAAGATTTGACTATGAATATAGACAGAGAGAAACTTGAATCTATTATAATTCGATAGATTTTAGTTATTTCAGCGATTTTAGCATTTTATTTCCTTATTTCATCAGGAGCACTGCAAAAAATGGACATTATCGTGTAGTTTACGTTCATTTTTTTAGAAGCAGTAACGCACGGCGATATTTTGCGGTTACAGGAGAAAGTCCCTCACGTCCTCTCTCATATTTCTCTTTGGTTTGATCATGAAGTATTTTGATATAAATATACAATTATATCTATATAAAATAATGCATATATAAAATTAAAAATAAATAATATATTATATAATATAATAATGTTATTAATATATTAATTATAAGCAATGAAAATGCGAAAAAATAGAAACTGAAGAAACTATCATTACTGTAAAATCTGATATTTTTGTAGATTTTATAATAATTTATATGATTATTTCAGTTTTAGAGCAATTTCGATTAATTAATTTATAATTAATCAGCAATTCAGTTTTACATACCATGTTAACATATGTATAGAATTATTAATTTTCAGTTTCGATACGTGCAACGATCATTATATATATTATAAATAGAAATTTTGCTTCATAAATGATTTTACCAATTAAATTAATTGCTGAATAAATTAATTAAGGTTCGTTCAAAATCCAAGATAATATGTATTATATCATTTTATATGAAACAAGACTCAGAAATGTACAAATGCTTAGTATGAATACTTTTTTAGATAAAATTTTAATTTGTTTTTTATATATAAAAAATGCAAGTATCATTGCAGCCAAAAAAATAATTTCCGCGTAAATTTTTTATTTTTCGCGTAAATGTGCTGCATTCACGATCTATAGAAAGATGAATGTTCGATAAGCTCAATGAAAAATTCATTCGACTTCGTTGTCACTCTCTATCAATTTGTATGTAATTTTAAATATTATAAATAATTTATGTAAATTTCGCAAGTATGCGTGTCGAAGAAAAGCAAACTGTTCAAGTTGCTCCCTGCAAATTAAACACCATTAATCCTATCGTTAAACATGAACAATCTCAACGAGCAAACAATTCTAGCTTGTACAGAAAAGTAAAAAGGAATATCATGTAATATTAAAAAAATTATTATGCAAGATAATAGTATAAGTAATACGCGAATTTAATTTTTATCTAAGATTTTGGATGAATCGAAGTGTTCTAGTGGAGACAATTTGTCTTTTCAATCTTCAATAGGCGTGATCAATGCGAATGAAGTTCCGAATACATTAAGCGAGATTAAAAATTTAGATATCGAGAAATATGATACATCCACATCTAAAAATATGATTCAACAACTTGAATATGTTTCGTGGAAATACAAAAATCCGTATAGTGTTTCTATTACCAATCATATGGATTGTGGAAAATCTAATCACACATTAGGTAAATATAACACTTTAATACAATAACAGTATTACTTCATTACATATTAGTAATCGATTATTTAATAAAATTATAATCATAATTTGTGGTAATTATGTTAGTCAAGTAAGTAATCATTAAATTTTTTTATTTGTTACTTATTGGGATATTACAAATCTCTTTATGTAATAAAAACTTTGTTTGTAACATTAATTCTTGTGTTAAACACGTGTAATTAAAATCTTATATTGATGATACAATTTGTAAGTTGACATAATGCATAAGAAATATTTTTTAAAAAGTACAAATCAAACATTAGGTAATCGAATTATGTTGTAACATTGTAGAGAATGTTTTCAAAGAGGACGAGCCTCAGGAAGGAAGAGCAAAGCAAAGCATTCTCTCCAATTGTCGAGAGTATCTAGCTACCTATCAGGAATCTTGTGGTACACCACGTACCGAATATTCCTTCGCTGCTTTGATTGTAGTAATGGCTCAGGCTACAGCACGATCTTTGTTAGGACTGATATACATGATTATTAATGTTGTTCCTGTTATTCAGGTGATTATATAGCGCTTTTCTAAATCCTCTATATCAGCGAATCGTCGAAAGTAAAGGATTAAACGTGTATCTCTTGAAACATTCCAGATGTTTTCTTTCATATTGAGATTCGTATTAGACAAGATAATCGATATACGCAGAACTAAGAATATTCAGCAAGTAGCTGTGAAACTTACAATTTTCATCATACAATTGCTCAGTGTGTACGTTTGCCTTATATTTATACTTGGCTTTATTGTTTTGCCAATTGTACAAATGGCAATTGGTATTGTAACTAAATTTGTAATGCGCAATTAAAATGCAATATTATATTGTAAAAGACAAATAAAATCATAATAGTGTTAGCCTTACAGAAATTCTTTAATTGCGATTTAATCTTTCTTTGTACAAATTTATGAGCACACATAACAATCATTTCTTTACAATACCTTATATGATAAAATTCACGAATCAGTTTGAGAACTGATTCGGACTAGAAGGCAATGAAATTGAGAAAAAGACGCTTAATACAAAACAGCAGCTAAAATGACTGAAAACACCAAGAAAATAGTGTTCAGCTCGATAATGTTTGCCGTGGCCCATCCACATTCTAGCTCCATTTTTAACAAATTTGACAACGATACGTTGTTTTTGTTCAGACAGAACGTTTCGCGGATATCGTCATCCCAACCATTGTCCCAACAATTAAATTCATCGCTCTCCTCTCGCTCGAAATTATGGAATTCGTCGTAAGAAATACATTGGTCCTCTTGATATTGTCTGTGCTTCCTTTGCCATATTTCTATCCAGCTATGAAAAGAAATTATTATTGCTCATCTTAGGAGATCAATTAATATTTTGCTAATTAGCAATAATGAAGTTCCAACATTGAAGAATTAAGTTACAAAAAGAATAAAACTTAATAAATTTTAAAATCAAGTAAATGTATTAATTTGTCTTCTGTATCGCCATATTTTGAAATAATGATATTACAGTTTACTAATATATGCTTTGTTTCTTTTAAATCTATATTCAATGTTCTTTTACTATCCTTTACTATAACAATTTGATTTTATTGTATCATACCCAATATCGCAATCGCAATTGACATGACTATTCGCTAATCGAAGTTTCATAAGGAATCGCTGGCCTGGTACTCCCGGTTTGTAACTGGATGATGGATTATGCAATGATCGTATATCGCTATTGCGAATTTCTACAGTTACATTACGCACACGCTGTGCGTTTCTAAATATTTCTCGCGGCACAATTGCCACGCTGGTATTGTATAAATTGAAGTGAAGATGGGGATTTCGCATACCCTAAAAAGTTACTCAATATATACTTAATAATATTTAATATTTTTAAATACAATTCATGACTTTAATTACTTTTATTAAAATTTAAACTTTATGATAATATAAAATTATTACAGTAGTAATCAAAAATCAAATAAAATTTAATAAGTTAACTAATTCTGAATAAGAATTATTTTGATCCAAACAGTTAAATTTTCGTTTAAATAAAAAATATGTTCATGAAAAAATGCATCGAAAATTTCACAAAAATCTTTTAATTATGAGTTAAAAAATGAAAACTTACGTGTAGTATCTCTGGATGTATAGTCTTTAAAGCTTTACCAGTCAACGTAATTTTGTATAATTTATAAGGCAATTTCCCTCTCATTTCTTTCTCTAGATTGGTGTCATTTTGAATCTATTACAAATATTATATGTTCAGTAAATCTAATTTTTATATGTACGCTATTCCAGTACTCACATCAATGAGCAAATGTTTTAAACCATGGTTATATTCTAGGATGTTGGGAAAGTTGAAATTCTTTATATTGTACGCAGTAATGTGTAATTTGCGGAGTTTGGTAGCTTTGCAAAGTGCTCCTGCCTACAAAAATCGATTCGTGTCTATGACGAGATTTTGCAAAATTTGTGACATGCAAATTCGAAATATAAATACAATCTTACTTCAAAGCTTGACAGACTGAGTTTTCGTATATCAAGCTCTTCGAGACTATCAGCCACACCAAGAAAACTAGTATTTGTAATAGCAGTAATGGGATTGTTTGCCAAATTGAAGGTTTTTAATTCTGGTAATGTGTGAGTAATCAATGGTACCACCGTTAAATCATTATAACTTAAATCTAAATAATGAAGAGATGTAAGATTGGACGACATTTCCGGGGAAATCGATGCCAATCCATTATGTGCCAGATTTAAAGTTTGCAATCGTCTTAGAGGCAACTCTGGAATCTACATTACATATTACATGCTACTGTTCTATACGCTTTTTGTGTATAGAATATAATAAAATACTTACACTTAAGAGAGAAATATTGCTCAGACCAAGATACAGAAGTGTGTCCTCTAAACCATAGAACGTCCTTCCGCGGCTTTCCAAAATAAGTTGTTTATTGTGGCTTAAGTCAAGATGAGCTAGATATGGTAAATCAGAAAATACGCCGTCGTCTAATCTAACAAGTCGATTATACGATAGATCTAACCACACAAGACCCTATTGAAAAATAATACATTAAAAAATATACAAATATAATGTATATATTATAATATATACATATTATATAATATATAATAATACGCATAATATAATCTATAATATAATTACTAGCAGTAAACAATTAAATGACATAGTTAATAAAAAAAGTAGCTATCTTAGAATTCTCAGAGTAATAAACGTACTCTAAGTCTGAATATTGTGTCGGTGGTATGAATCCCCGATAGTATGTTCCAGGACATATCCAAATTTGCTAAATTTGCAGTGGAAGTTACCGACATACTTTTAACGGGCAGTCTCGTGAATTGATTGTGCGAGAGATCAAGACTCTCTATATCAGAGTCAGTAAACATGTTATCTGGCAGTGTTCTCAGCTTGTTATGAGACAAATCCACGATGCGCAATTTCTTCAAGGATCTTAGAGTCTCCGCTGGGATGTCTGTGATTTCGTTCCAAGAGAAAAATAACACTTGCAAGTTATTTGTATTCTTCAAACAATCAAAATATATCTCTATCAACCCGTTATGTCTCAAGTCGAGCCATTGCAAGTGAGGCATATTGCCAAAGACATCCTGAGTGATGTTTCTTAATTGATTGTTTGACAGATACAGATGAGTGAGTGAATACTCGACCGGCTTGAAGTAATACTTCGTAATATCGGAGATATTATTGTAACTCAAATCCAGAACTTTGATGTTCGATTGCACATTACCACTAACTAAAAGAAATGTGGAAATTAAGAATATCAGTTTAAAAATAATAATAGCTGTAAATAAAAACAGTTTAATAAGTAGAGAAAATAAATAATATTAAATAGTTTAAATAAAATAAAATAAAACGAAATAATTCAAAATTAAATTTTATATTATTTATAATTTCTAAATTGAAAAATTCCTTTTGAATATTCCTTTTGAAATTTAACATTGTAAAAAGATTGTAAACTCACCGCCAGATGAAGATATGAAAGAGGTGCTATTTACCCATAATCTTGAAATTTCATTATGGCTAACGTTGACTTTGAATGATGATAATGTACCCACTTGATCGAATGAGGCGAAGTCAAATTCATTAAGATTGTTATATGCGAGATCAAGAAACTCAAGATCTGGTAAATTCTAAAACAATATTTTCATCAATAATATATATTATTATAAAAGTATTCTTTTCAAATCATTAATTTGTCAAAATATAAATAAATTAAATCACTGAATTTTTACTTAGAACGAATACAAAATAATTAACACTTATAGAATTATTTTTTAACAATAAAAATTATAATTTTAATTGCATTAAATTTTAAAAATCCAAATGGCAGAATCTTTATTTTTAATTAATTCTAAATTGATTTTTAATTTAACAAAGATTTAGCCTGTATGCATATATTAAATTACTTGAAAGGCTTCATCGGTGATGTCTCTAATCTTATTGCCGCGCAAATTGATATATTTAAGTCGGTTCATATTTATAAAGGCTCGTTTTTCGATCCTCTCGATAGTATTATCCTCCAGATTAATTGTCATTAAAGCCGACAAATCGATGAATGTATGAGTTTGCAAATCTCTCACTTGATTAAAAGCGAAGTTGATTTCTTCCAGAGTTGAATGGATGTCACCCTAATCAAATAATTTTTTGTCATATAAGATACATGTTATACAAAGAAGAAATTTACCTGAAAGGTACCCTTCAGTATGCTATCAATTTCGTTATCTTGAAGCTCAATGCGTTTTATCCTTTTTAAAAAATGAAAAGATGTAGCAGATAAAGATCGTATCTTGTTATTGCTAAGGTCAAGATGCTGTAAATTTGTTAACGATTTAAATGGCCGATTTGGTATTTCAGAAATTGAGGAGGAGAGACCATGAGACATCCTTAATGTTAAAAGAGAATAGCCCACCTATATATAAATATTTCAAAAAAAATTTAGGCAACTTTGTATTATTTATATAATTTTCTTATTATAATATAGTAACATTTAAACCGGTATTCATAGTTGATTCTTATATCTAAGACCAACTTAAGCATGGTGACATTAAGATGTCATAAGCCAGATTCGTATTGCATTTTAAGACATTAAACAATCTTAAACAATAAGAATAAATTATGAACATCGGTTTTAATGTTACAAATTAACTTTTATAAAGATTTAATTCCTTTAACTTACTCCTATAGCACAAAGTTGCACAAAAGTTGCAGCAATACTGTTGCAGCATTGCATGTTGTAACAATAATGCAGAAATTTTGCAGCGATATTGCTGCAAATTCTATGTTGTATGGGATATTAAGTTCTAGCTAACTAAGAAAATGTAATAAGCGAAATAAAAAATTTACCTCTGAGAAAGCATCATCATCTATAGTCGATATCGAGTTTTCAGAAAAATCAAGATATTTGATTCCGCGAACGTGCATGAAAGCGTGATTTTTTATCGTATTCAGATTACTATTAATTATTCGTAATTCTTTGATATCCATACCAAATTCTAGAAAATCATTCGCTGATAAGATTGCCTGTGGCATTCGGGAGATCGAGAGGAAACGCAAATTTCTCATTTGTCGTAGGTCTTGAAGGGAAATCATGCTGTTCTGCTTGCCACTGAGGTCCAAATTATACAAATATTGGAAGCCACTAAAAACTTCAGCTAAAAATATACATCATGAGGATCATGCTTGTTTTGTGTCCATTAATTGTAAAAAATATGCACTATTTACTTGGCGAAAATGTGTTGATACGATTCTCGCGGAAGATAAGCGTACGCAGAAGATCGAATTCTTGAAATAGATGATTAGGAAGC